ATTATATATATCTATATATATTTAAAAGAATCAGTGACAACGATTTTAAGGTTTTAATTCATAGGTTCACACGCCCACAGATATTAAGCAGTGGAGCAGGGCAATGACACAGCGTTACTTTAGCCCAAGAGGAGAGCATTTATGACTCACACCTTAAATCAGAGACACGGTGGCATTTCACACAGAGTGCTGGAGCTCGGAAATAACAGTAAAACCAGCAGGACGAGTTAAAACTGCAAAGAGCTGCAAAAGTGTTTAGAAAAAGCTCAAATGTGGCCAAACATCCTCCACAGATTCAGCTGCAAAATTCTGTGCTATACAACAGATTTACTTAAGGTGGGGGGATTTTTGAAGGTGGAGTTCAGCTACCTCCGTGACGCTGATGTGTTTTAAAGAAATTGGAAAAGCTTGTCACAAGTTCCCACACTTAATGAGAAAATGACACTTTTCTTTTTCAGCTTTCTTGGATTCCTTCAACAGCGGTCCGCCTCAAGCTTCAGCGACAATGTGAGCTAAAGGAATAATTAAGCCTACTTACGTGTCGCAGCAGTGAGCTACAGTCGGCTTCTCGCCCCCAGAAAGTCGCAACTCGTTTGATAAAAAAGATGATTTCGTTTTCAGAGGACGTACGCGCTCCTTCTTTCGCTCAAACGCGCATGCGCGCTTCAAACCGTTGATTCAGGTGTTCGCGACCGCACTTTCGCTTTCACTTCAGCTCGCAGATTCCTTGAAATCATGTGATCTCACAGCAGAGCCTGTGTGTGTGTGTGTGTGTGTGTGTGTGTGCGTGCGTAGCGAGTACGCACACTGAATTTGAGATTGGTTTGAATGCAAATAACTATATTTATTTAAAAATGTTACAGCTGCATGAAAAATACACCAATACCGATTATAAAACAAACATCCGCATCACGGATGGGTTGATGGTTTTACTACTACAGCGCTGTTTGCTTTAAAAATTGTTTTTTGTGGATATATTTCAGTTTATATACAAGTTTAGTTTATATTTATAACAAAATGAAAGAAAGGCTCACACATACCTGTGGACATCATGCTTTACAAAGCCCGGTGGTGTAAAGTAAGTGTAAACCTCAGTGATGCAGCAGCAGGAGCAGCAGAAGCAGCACAGGTGCCTGCGTGTAAGATCTCAGGTAAGACTCTTGTTTCCTTTTTGTTCTGTCAGCTTTGCGTAACAATGCTTAACTATGCTTCAGCGCATAGTCAAAAGGCTGTAATTATTTCCATGTCATGTCAAGCATGTCAATAGACTGCAGGTTAACCGACTACCTCGTCAATCAACTTGCAGCCAAGAATTCAAAAAGGATTACAAGCAAAGTCATGAACGTGAATGCATTCATGAATCAAACTGTAAAAAATGTGCAGCCATTCTTCTTATTTTATATCTCTTATAGAGAAAAACATGCTGCTTTAAGGGTAATAAACGGATAAGAAAATTACGGATTTTGTTGCAGTTTCTGCAGCAGCAGACAGATTGTTCATTATATCAATGAATAATGATCAGACAAGCACGGACGAAGCATTTATTAACACTCTGTAACTTGCAGCTGACTTGAAGGTGCAGTACCCCTCACATCACAGGGAAAAGGCATGACTGCAAGACGTTAGCCTCTCAGGCCGTGGAGGTGGATGTCTGGTTTTCTTTTTTCTTCTGTCTAAGCATCAAGTAGGCAGCTGCCGTTACTGCAAAGATCCCATAAGTAGCCAAGACACACTGCAGAGAAGAGAAGGAAACATTTGGGATTGTGAGGAGTCGGCGCGCCTGTGTGTAATATCTCTATAAAGATGTGTGCGTGTGTATAAAAGTGTGTGCTGGTTAAGTACATTTCTGCGACCCTGCAGAGTGTAGCTATTAAAGTATTTCCTCCAACCCGTCAGTTCCACAGAAGAAGGGGCCTCAATGCCAAACAGCTGTCTCTAAAACACAGAAACAGTAAGAGGAAGCGCTGAGATCAGATCTGTGATATTTTTTGACACATTTCCAAGACGTTTAAAAAAAAACGTGCATTGAAAGATATAAAATAAAAGATGAAGAAAACAGAAAATAAAAGCTAGCAAACAAACACATACAATAGAAGCACATGATGAATGCCCTCAGAATTATGCAAACCCAGTCAGAACGAATGTGAAAGCACCAGATTAAATGATGAACAGACTTACGGAAAATAAACAAAAGGAAAACCCAATAACAAAGCTTGAGTAAGCGCACTCTGCGTTTTTTAATTAAGGAATTATTATTGTGTTTTTTCATGGAATCTAATAAAAGCTGCAATATGAAAACTTTAGGAAGAAATTAAGCAATTTATTTTAGAAATAGATGATGTGGAACATGCATACCTTTGCATGTAGAGGCACGTTTTTCTGTGAGTAGCGTGATAAAGCAACAGTGGGATTGCACACTTGTTACTAGCAGTGTTGGGACTAACGCATTATTAAGTAACGCGTTACAGTAACTACGTTATTATTGTGGTAACGAGCACGGTAACTAGTTATTATGCCAA